TCTCTCTCTCTCTCTACGTGCGTTTTCCTGCTCATGTTTTTTTCCAAAGATTCTTATTCTCGATCAAAAAGCATCTGCCCCTTGGTCACAACCAAGAACTCGTGTCAGGTTTTGCGAGGTATTGCCGCGTTTCCTCGACAGCTAAGTCCGCCAACAGTTCTGGAGAGCTGGCCACTGTGAGCGTGCGCTGTTTTAATGGATTAAGTTATATTCAATACAGCAAAATATATAGCACAGGAGGAAAGAAATAATACAATAAAATTAAACAGGGGGTGGAGTTGTGAAAGTTGTGATGTTGTAAGGTGTTGCATTCTTTGTGGCTGGTATGTAGATTTTGGAATTATGTATTAACAGCTGAATTAACCAGAGCTTAAGAAAAAGAAGAACACTCTGAGTCAAAGAAGGCTTGGGTTACCAAGGATGTCCAGCTGCACAATGATGTCACATCATTTCATATTCCAGCTGTTTGTTGCCAAGGAGTTGGTCACTTTGCAGCAGGACACGTATTAGAGGTTCTCAGTACTGTACTGTACAACTTTGTCTACACTCTGCATGTTTTAGATGACATTCAGAGACTCAGAGTCTGGCAAAGACTCTTTTGGCCCTGTCATTGATTCTGACTAATTCGCTCACATTCAGGTACTTTCAGCGATCAGAACAAAACAAAACAATGACACGTGTTTAACTACTATTCTTCCTCCCACAAGTTTGTGGCAGGATGCGCGTGGAGAGGAAGCTGTCATTGTGATGGAGAATAAAGTCCGCATTGGAGGCCACATTAGCAATGACAAAGTTCGACAGAGTGAACATGAATCAGCTGGCCAGATGAGGAACGCCCATGACCGCAACAAAGACAGAAACAAGGTCAGTTTCCAAGATGAGGCAGGTAATGAAGTGTTCCATCCATGCCTTTGGTGTCAGCACTGTTTTTGTTTTTTGAGGTTTGCAGTTGGCCTATTCGGATTCGCCAAGTATTATCCAGTGAACATTGATGACTCAATAACAAAAAACACCTGGAACAAATTGGAACAAGAGATATATATATATATATACAATATATATGCTACTATCACGGATAGCTTTTAACATTGACATTGATACACCTGAGAAGGGAGGGGGGCGAAAGCCAGCCACCGCAAGGATACGCTTAAGTATGGTGATGCGAGATCCCTGGTGAGCTCCCCACCTCTTTTCCTATCACCCTCTATTCCTATCGCGTCCTCCTCCGCATGCCTGTCTCATCCACATGAACTCCCACCCCATATGGGGTGCCCTCTTGAGTCTGGCTACTAGGCCTCCTCACCGTCAAAAAAGGGCACCCCGAAGCCACTCAAAGCTTGCCCGCTGCAATCTGTTTTCTCTCCTGCCCTCAACGGACCGCATCATTACATGAACTCGCTCCTGAGCCCATCATGATGCTAATTCGCCGTCAATTACATCACTTGCATCACAACACCCTAAAAACAATACATGTTCCAATCGTGTCCGCTTTTTTCGTTCTCCCCACCAGGCTCTGGCCGTGTGCGACCACCCCCCCACACCCCCTTTACTAACTTCGCTCGCCCAACCCAACTTCAGCCCAGCCTATCGGCTGGCTTTCGTGATTAACTTACATAACAGAAAAACCAACATGTGTCCAAAATTGGTATCACAGACACCGATGCTGATACCCAGTAACGTTGCTGTTCAGGATACTCACAGGCAGGCAGTCTTGCAGGCTTCAAAAATGGAAGCCTCAAACGATGAGATTGTTGAGCACAAGGACGAAGTGTCGGAATCAGATTCGGAGGACAAAGTGAAGCGCCGGAGAACAACCAAGCCTGGAGGGCCGGAGAACTCCCCAGTGACGCCAAATTCAGACACTCCAGGTTCAGCACCTTCGGCCCCTTCGGCCCCTTCAGCTCCAGCCTCTGCCAAAGCAACAGCTGGAAAGCGCAAGAATGCTGCGCAACCTCCTCCTGCAGCACTGGATGCTTACAGCCCTTTGCACTTCTGGCAAGGCTCCCTGAAAGCAAAGGACATTGACAAGAGGCTCAGTCTTGCTTTTCAAGCCCATGCAGCCCTGGAGGAGCACATTCCTGAGCGTCCTGACGTTCAAGATGTTACAAAGAAGCTCAGTGATGCCGCTCTAAGGGTGGCTGAGTGGCTGGATTGCATTATATACTCCACTTTGGGATGCGGAGTCGTGCGTGCGGAATGTCAAGAGCATGGATCATGTGGACTTTCTGAAAATTGCCAAAAGAATCCCTCCAGACTGCATGCATTCAATGCTTGTGGATATTGGGAAACGCATCTGGCAGGAGAGGGGTTCCTTCTACGTTTTCCTTGGAATGGCAGAAGGACTAAATGATGCTTCAGAATGACAATAACATTTGACATTGAGACGAGGGTGGGGTGACACACTATACTATACTATACTAAGTCAGGGAATTGGACACAGGTCACACGATGAGTCAAAAGTTATACAACTAAAACAAAAACTAGACTAAACATGACTAAACTAGAGGCCCTATGATATGAATAATAGGCGCGTATGACTCTATGACATTTCAAAACGACCCCAAACATAACTGCTACTGCTACTGAGTATTGTCACTCCAATTCCATGGTAATGGCTTTGGAGTTTACAGCGTACATGTTATTTACTATTCCATTTGCAGGAGTCAAGCAGCAACACATCGTCGAATGACAGCGCAGATTTTTCAACTTCCTGGCACTCACTGACAGAGCTGAGACCCAGCAAGGCCTCTCCCTGCAGAGGCTGTCCAAGAACCCCGAGTGTGCAATGAAGGAACCAGGCTCCTTGCAGGTTCAAGGACCCTTCTGACCTATTTTCTGGAGCAAGCCCAGAAAAGTCATAATGCCGAGCACTATGTTTCAAGTATGCCTGATTCCTTTTGGCATCCAGATTTGCTCAGGACCGCGCCATTAGCAGTAGGTGACAGTTTCCAAAAGGTTCTTTTGATGAAGTTATGATTCATGAAACTGCACCTCACCTCTGCTTCAGCCTCCCAGGAAGTCAGGCCAAGCGACGAGACTCTGCGAAAACTCAATGCAATCTCTTTGAGCGATGATATGATCTATGGTCGCTATGGTCCAATATCATGATTATACCAAACTCGTGTTCAGCTGATATTCAGCCCACATTCCATTCACGTTGTTACAGAACAAATCCAGATTCCTTAATTGCGCAGGAAGATCAATGACCCTGTGACTGGTCCCTTGACGTTGCAGCTGCCCAAACCTGAAGGTGAAGAAGAAGAAAAAGAAGAAGTGCCAAATCACTCTGGCATTTCTACGAAGTTCCTTGTAGACTTACAGCGGTTTGTGGCACGCAAAAAAGGTTCTGCAACAGGACCACCTCGTGAACAGCAGCCGAGCTCAAGCTGGTGATTGCCCGGACCAAGATCATGTCCCCGAAGCTCAACTTGATGTTCCGCGCCAACCAGAACTTGAGGCTCCAACCCAAAAGCGTGTATTGTATTTGTATTTGCTTGACATTCATTCATTCATTCGTTCATTCATTCATACATTCGGTGATTTGAATTGAGACGAAGCAAATATTGCAAAGTTTATTATGATTACTATACCCGAAATTTCAGAAAGTTTGCCAGGGAATGAATTTGAGACAGGAGACATGAGACTATAGACTATAACAAAATTGTGTTTAAATTTATCCGTTGGCTTGGAGGAACTTCTGGAGTGGAGTGGTGGACATTGGGAAGCAGCAGGTCGACATTGAGGCTGCCCTTGACCTCAGCAACAAGGCCAAGATCAACTTGCAGCGCTTGATTGACTTGCTGAAGAACCAAGAGGATCCTGCGACAAATATCAGCTTGGAGAAGGTCATGCCTCCCATTGACAAGTGCTCTCGTCTTCAGTCTGTGCTGTTTGCCTTGAATAATTTCCAGAAGGAGGAGCACGCACAGGCAGTGCATGACCTCACAGAGTTGTCGACCAATCTCAGCAAGTCCTTGGACGAACATCAGTGGGGCAAATTCAACTTGACAGATTTCTTGCAAGGCTTGTTCCACGAAGGCGTCCAAGTGAAGTTCAACAAGACTATGACTGGATCTCAAATCGGGAGGTCAATCAGTGAAGCCTGATTTTGAAGTCAAGAACTTCAGAACGCTGTTAGAAAGGTTCATGCTCGTATTCTACAATGAACCACACTGGCATTGACATTGATCATCTTTTTGGTTTGGCAGGATAGGTGATAGGATGTGTACTCAATCAGATTTGAACTGATTTGTCATGTGAAGCCATGTGAGTCATTTGTCTCGCAATTCAACATGTCGATTTGGCCTTGCAGGCACTGTTGCCACCCGGGTCTTCAAAATGGAGGATGATGTCACCATGGAGTTTGCAGAACGCACCCCAGAAGATGAAGATGTCCCGTTCCGAATGTGTGTGACTTGCCCGTGGCCATGAACACCCAAAAGCAGTGGAAATTGGCTATCCACTGCAAAGTCCACTGCAGTTGCCTTGAGAAACCAGATGGGGACCTACTACGGTCACAAATTGGCCTATGAGACATGGAAGGCACACGGTCCTGATGAGGTTGTCCAACTTTTTGGAGGCTGTAAACTGTAAAGTCCTTCCTTCAGAGATCAAGCCCATCCTGAATTTGGCAAAGAATTCCGGCGTCCTAGAAGATCCGAAGATCTGTGACCCAAATTTGATGCGTACTGTGGCCATTTTGTCACTGGACATGGACGTGGAGAAGTTCTACTCAATCAAGAAGGTTAAAGAGGTGAAGCGCTTCCAAGCTGGCGGTTCTTTCCATCCACTGTGGATTCTTCTTCAGGTGGCGTTCCAATTTCGATTTCACCCTTAGGCTACCCACGTTCCAGAATCCTTCAGTGAATGTCTCCTTCAATCGCCTTCAATTGGGCCACGCTAGGCCTTTGCCTGCGGCTGTGGAGACGGAACTTGAGAGCATGTGGATGAGACAAACGACGAGACAAACGAGGTCAAGACTGAGGCTGCACTCAAGAGCATGCCTTGACATGGCGCCGTGACCACCAAATCATGGAAGACGTCTTGCGGACTTTGGAGAGCATCCACTGCGAGCCAAAATCGTCAGTGTGTTGAAGGACACTGAGGACTGCTGCAACTGGTGGATCAAGCATTAACGTAACGTAAAAACACATTCAGAATGCTGGAAAATAAGGTTGACGTACTTTTTTGGACGACATATCACATATGACACATTACTGCATGTTGTTTTGTGGTGGACAAATGGGGGACGTTGACATGTGAAATGGGTTTATGATGTGGGCAGTCAACATTTTACAACATGTTGAACGTTTGGGTTAAGTTCTAATTGTTCAGCTCAATTGCCAGAGAATTTCGAGAATTTGAATGTGTGTTGTGTTGTTCTGCATTTGCATTTTGCAGTCAGGCACTTCGGAGCAGCATTGGAAACATTGCCATCTCTCTCATTGTGACTGACTTGCTGGTTCATGCAGACGAGAATGAGGACAAACTTGCCGGGGTAAGGAAAGTGTGCAACATGTTGGCTCAGGAGCTTGGCCACACCCGGGCAGACCTCCCTGACATACTCCAGCAAAAGTTGGAGGAGTTTCAGAAGTCAGGTGATGCAGCAGCGTACCTGGGCGTACCTCAACTGCAGACTCCAGATTTGAGGCACACCAGGTTGAACAGGTCAAACATTGAGATGAAACTTATTTGTGGGCCTGTGGGTTTTTCATGCTCAATTGTGTGGTTTATTCTTAATTTGTGCAGTGAGTCTTGTTGCTCTCAATCAGGTTGACAATTGGTTTCTTGGTTTTCGAGGAAAGGTAAACAATTACAAGAAACAAGCCAAGGCCGAAGAGAGCTGCCAAAAGAGCCAAAGGCAAAGGCCAAGTAGAAATGGACTGTGGTTTTGACACGACCTCAATCTTGGGGCCCCGGATCATGACCCTGGACCTTGCAGTTTAATTTTGGGTCTGGATCTTGTGGCACGTGCTCCTTCGGGCTCCGGGATGGACTAGTCTCTTTTCGAGCAAGGGAAGGCTCCAATCACCCACAACAGCTCAATGTCAAGCCAGCCAAAACTGTGATCACAAGACCCCACTGGAAGTTCAAAGCGTATGTAGAAGTAGAAGCCAACCCATCTTCCACCTGAATCTTCAAAGTCTCCGTCAGAGCCCACCCCACCACCTTCTCCAGTGATCAGGTCGATACCGTGAAAATGCCCCAACCGTAAACCCTCCAATGTGTACGCGAAGCCGCTGCATTTTTGTCAACGGAGGGTTGCTTGACAAAAACCACAATAGGGAGACATGGCAGCCTCTGTCGACTACAACCCGCCTTTGGAAGGTGTGTGGCCTTGTTCTCCTCCTGTCGCTGCGCGCGTCCAAGGTGCTGACCCTCCCGCAAGGAACATGAAAATTTAGCGACCCAAAAACCATGCCAAAAGCAATGCGCACAGCGTGGCCTGGTTCTTCTCCTGGCAATGCACTGATCCTTCTGGAAAGGAAGGGTTTGGGAACTCAGAATGAAAAACGCGACACCGTTCCTGAACAATCTGAGCCGTGCTGCCCTTGCTGCCCTTAAGCTCTGGAACGCCTTGCTCCTGGGAAAACATTTGG